GCCTCTTAACAAAGTTATCTAGCCCCCTTATTATGATTTCAGCAGTTTCCAGTGTTTTAAGGAGCAATCAGAAGTACCAGTAACATAGCAGTATGCTTGAAATGATCTTGGGCCCCACCCATAATTGACGAAAATGCAGGAAAAGGCCGTTTTACCGCCGTAAAAGTGGGTGTGGCCAAAATTGCAGCGCGCTTCGCACGCCCTTAGCACCCCCTTTCCTCAGTTCCTAGATACGCCCCTGATTATTAAGTATTGTTATTTATTGTTATTCCAAAGAAGAAGGTGGGGCTGGTTTGACTACGCCCATAGCTCCACCTTAAAAGATGGAGGACAATAGAAATGCAGTGATTCACTCAAATCTTCCTCTTCTGAGAGAAGAGGTTCATCAGATCATTCCTCTCCTCCTTCTGCTATTCTGAGGTGAAGGTATCTTTGTATGGAGATAATCATTTATTGTTGTAAGGGATATTATGCATAAAGAGAAAATGTAAACATTATTAATTAAATGGCTGTGTCTACAGGTCCGGTAACCGGACACAGTTTTCAATTGCTAGAGATCCGGCAGTCCGTTTTTCTCCTTAAAACAGCTTGTGCGCATGCGTAATCTTTTTATCAAGAAACACTAAACCCTAATCCCAAAACCCTACGACCCCGGAGGCTAAGATGTACGAGAGTGTGTTATTTCTTGACCTAAATAAAGCCAAAAAGGAGAAACAAACAAAAAAATCATTTTTAAAAAAGAAAAAAAATCATAAACTGTAGCATAGTTTCATGCAGTAGTCCTGACCGGATTCGAACCGCTGCCCACATCCATGCAATCCACACGAGCCTCTCCACTACACCACCACGACCCTGCTGCAAGTTGTGATGCTGGTCTTTGGATCTATACTCGATTATTCATACTGGGGCGTAGCCCCAGTATTATATAGGGGCGAAGCCCCTATTACCGGACCTCTAGCCCTGAATACTGTGTCTGGTTACTGGACCTGTAGACACTTCGTAATTAAATTAATGTCTACTTATTAAACTATAAATTTTACATACTTGTACATGTGTACTATAGGTACAGTATATTCATTGTGTATTGTATAATGTGTGTACATTATTAGATATTCATGTACATGTACATGTAGGTTGGGAGTCTCAGTTACTTGAAATGGGTTTCCTTGCAATGTTCTTATCTCCAGTTTTGAGTTATAGCCAGTTTCCACGTCACACGCCCACAAGCTGGACCAATGTCTGGGGAAATCGCTGGATGATATTCCTCATTATGATTGAAGCTGTAAGTGAGAGAAAGGATGTGATTGAATATTGGAACCTTCTTTAGGGTTTGATAAAGATGAGAGGTGATAGCTGTTGGAGGGACTTGACTTGTATGAACTATCATTATGAGGTTTGTACATTGTATATTGTATAGTGTATGATGCTTTAATTTGGTGGAGTTTCAGTTTGACATTTTGTGATCTGAGATTGATTTATAATCAGCATAAGTTGCTATTTAGATGTCATTGTTAGTGCTGTATGGGCATCCATGCTTTTTAAGAAAATGGCTCCGAAATTACCCAAAATTTTTATTACGTTTTTTGATACATATTGATGTCATAATGCTACGTCTAAAGTTTGAGGTGATTCCGATTGAAATTTTAAAGTTATAGCCATTTTAAGAAATCTGTTGATTTTGAAAATTTCGCTGTACTATAGTCCATGGTTTTTCTAAAAAATGATCCCAAAGTTGCTCCAAATTTTTATGACATTTTTTGATGCATATAGATGTCTTTATGCTGTGTAAAAAGTTTAAAGTGATTCAGACTGAAAATTTTTGAGTTATGGCCTTTATTAAAAATTGGCCAATTTTCGAAAATTAGCCCATGGTTTAATCTTTCAAAAATTGGTCCCAAAATCACCCAAAATTTTTATTACATTTTTTGATGCATATTGATGTCCTTATGCTATGTAGAAAGTTTGAGGTGATTCCGACTAAAAATTTTCGAGTTATAGCCATTAAAAAATTGGCCAATTTTCGAAAATTACCCTGTATATAGCCCATGGTTTTTTCAAAAAATGGCTCCGAAACCTCCCCAAATTTTTATTACAAACATCTTCCAATTTCCAATTTGGAATTTCTAATTAGTCAAATTTCTTGAAAAAATGCCAATTTTACAAACTTTCTGCAAAAAATTACAAAAAAATGTTTAAAATGATATTAATGTACAGAAACAGATAAAA